GGAACGATTCGGAGCAGAAATGAGGCCGGCGCCTCAGCTGAGAGCAAGCATTTGGAAAACAACGGCGAAAAACCCAACTCCGGGGAATCCTGTGTGTAAAAAAGTAGTACGCGGGGGGGTGCCGAACATCTTCCGGACGCCATCAGGGGAAGTGGGAGAGTAGTATTCATATTGTGTAATTGTGGAGGGAGGGGAGGGGGGGAGGGAGGGAGGGACGAGGAGGAGGAGGAGAGGAACCCCTTCCCCCGCTTTTTTCCCCCCCCGCAACCCCCTTCCCCCCCAGGGGGGGGCGGGGGGCTCGGCCGATGGGGCCGGCGGCGGCCACCCCGTGGCGCCGAGGCGCGAGAGGAGCCCCCCCCCGCCGCCGCGAGCGGTGCCCCCCCGCGGCCCTCCCTCGGACGAGCTGCGCGGTGGCGCGCATGACTGCTCGGTGGACCACGAAGGGCTCCGCTCCGCGAGAGCAGCGGTGTGCGTTTCGCGTGTGCGGGAGGGAGGAGAGGAGGGAGGGAGGGAGGGAGGGAGGCAGGAATGAGGGAGGGAAGGAGGAATGAGGGAGGCAGGGAGGGAGTGAGGGAGGGAGGGAGGGTTGGAGGAGGGATAGAGGGAGGGAGGGAGGGAGGAGGAGGGGGAGCGAATAGGGAGTAAAGGGAAGGAAGAGGGAGGAGGCGCCCTCCAAAGTCCCCTGGATGACGATGATGAGGAGGAGAACTTAGAGAAGAAGGAGAAGAAGCGAGCTGGGGGGATGAAAGGGAGGACAGGTGCGAGGAGGAAGGAGGGAGGAGACGCACGTCTGGAGGGGAGGGAGAGAGGAGGAGCGAGGAGGGAGGATGGGAGGAGAGGGAGGATGGAGGACAGGGGAACGAAGGAGGAGCGAGGAGGGGGTTTCGTGCTGAACCCGGGAACACTTGATGAAAAGCACAGGGGTCCTGGAACCGTAGAGTTTTCTGGGCTGATCCGTGAAAGCCCCAGGTAGCAGCCTAAGAGTTGCCGCGGGCAGCCTCTGCGACCCTGGACCGAGTGGGTGAAGGGAGAGCCGCTGGAAACGGAGAACGAGTGAGTAGCGAGAAGGGATGATGAGCGAAGATGGATGGGGCAGAATTGGAGGAGGAGGAGGAGGAGGAGGAGGAGGAGGAGGAGGAGGAGGAGGAGGAAGTGTCCACCTCCCTCCCTCCACAGCCCGTTTGGCCCAAGAGCCGCCTCCCTTCCCCCCCCTCCTCCTCCGCCTGCGTCCTTCACTGCCTCTTCCCCCCCGCCCTGCCGCAGGACGCCGGGTGTTCCTGCTGCTCTGCTGCTGCCTCGCCCTTCCCTGCTACAGTCAAAAACCCTAATAAGGACGCGCGACTTTGCTCAGGGTACCCTTTGCGTCCCTGCTCTTCCTTGCTCTTGCGTCCTTGAGGTTTTCGTCGTCCGCCGCCCCAAAAATCCCAACTGCGGCTTCCAAGGGTCTTGCGTCCTTACCGCGCGTCCTTATTAGGGTTTTTGACTGTGTCATGCTCTCGGTCAGCGTCGCCTTCGGGTCGCTGCGCACTGCGCTGTACTGCCCCCCCCGCCCTTGGGGGCCCGCCCTTGCCCTGGCCCTTGCGCAGCACAGGAATGATCCTGCGCCATCTGTGTGCCGCCCTTCACCGAGAGGCCTCCTGCTGCATCGGGCTTCGTCGGCCTCGCAATCCCCCCCTCCCCCCAACAAAACGCCTTCCCCCCCGCTCCTCCCCGCCGCTCCTCTCTCTACAAATCGGGCCGAGGTATGGCCTCGGTCCGACTGTACCTTGTCTTCGCCTACTCCGCACCTCCGCCTCCCCCGTCCCCCCACCCCCCCTCGCCCGCCCGCCAGGTGCACACCCATCCATCGTGAGTGGTCCCTGCCTTCGCTTTCGCGATGCCCGCCGCCGCTAATATGCACCGGTGGGCCACACCCCGGTAAAACTCGCCCGCCCCGGCCCCCGCAGGACGCCGCCCGCTCGGAGCGCGCCAGGGGCGGCGCTTCCGCGCGGAGTTCGGGAAGGTTATGTGTATTCAACTGTTTCTTCGTTGCTCCTGCCTCCCAAGATCCAAAGAATGATCCAGAGAATATGCGTATGCCGATCCAGAGAGTGCCGATCCACAGAATCCTCCAAGATCCTTCTTGTGTCCTCTGGGCGCCGCCGGGCCGCCGCGGCGACCCGCCGCGCGCGGGTCGGCCGCCGCGGAGGCCTGGCGGCGGCCGCCGTGCTGTGCCGCCGCGCGGCCGCCGCGCGGCCGCGCGGGCCGTGAAGGATGCTCTTCCTGCCTGGGCCCGACTGTATCTCATCTTCGCTCGCTCCGCCCCCTCTCGCCCTCCTCCTCCTCCTCGTCCTCCTCTCCTCCTCCTCCTCCTCCTCTCCTCCTCCCTCTCTCTCCTCCTCCTCCTCCTCGTCCTCCTCGTCCTCCTCCTCCTCCCCTCCTCCTCCTCATCCCCCCCCTCGCCCGCCCCGGCCCCCCCGGGAACGCCGACCTCCTCCGGCGCCGCTAGGCCCCCCGGCGGTCCGCCGCGCGCGGGGGGCCCGCCGCCGCGGAGCCTGGCGGCGGCCGCCGTGCCACGTGCGGCCATGAAGCGGCCCGCCGGCGCCGTGGAGGGCGCCCCGCGGGCCACGAAGCGGCCCGCCGCCGCCGCGCGCGGCGGGCCGCGGCGGGCGCTGGACGGCGGCGGGCGGGCAGGGCGGCGACGGCGGCGGCGAGCAAGAGCAAGGGCGAGGAGGAGGAGGAGGAGGAGGAGGAGCAGGAGCAGGAGCAGGAGCAGGATGAGGAGGAGGAGCAGGAGCTCTCGGACCAAGCGCACGAGCACCACTGAGGAGGAGGAAGGAGGAGGAGGAGGAGGAGGAAGATAGGGAGGCGGAGGAAAGATGATGACTAGGAGGAGAAGGAGGAGGAAGGAGGAGGGAGGAGGGAGGGAAGGAGGGAAAGAGGGAGGGAGGGAGTGGCGAGTTGGAGGGATGAAAGGGAGGACAGGGGCGAGGAGGAATGAGGGAGGAGACGCACGTCTGGAGAGGAGGGAGAGAGTTGGTAAGTTGGGAGTTGTCTTCGTCCGAACTGAGCGTCGTTGCACTTCCGAGCAATCAACAAACAACATTATGATACATTACAAGACATCGAACGACAGTCCCAGACATAGTGAGACATCGCAAAGTATCGCAGAGACATTCAAACACATCCCGAGACATCGCAGAGATGTTCTGATACATTCTACGGCACCTCAAGACACTCCAAGACACAGCATGGTAAGTGGAAGCTCTGCGAAACCCAACGGAACTCTGAACTCCCAGCTTACGTGTGAGATCATCTGGTGGGAACCTTGCGAACCATAATGAAATTGCACACTTCCCTTGGGAGCTCTCCAACGCACAGCCTAGAAAGTTTAGGCAACCAGTGCGGAGATGCTCAAACTGCAGCGGAATTGCGTATCGATGTTGTTTTGTCCAGGGCCGCCGATGTCTCACTTGGATTTCCCGGGTGAGAGAGGGGGGTTATAAGCAGCAGAGAGAAGAGATTGATTGAACAAGCAAAGAAATTCGAGGAGGGGGGAGGGACAATGATGATCAACAGCACAAGCAGGAACAGGAGCGCGAGGGGAGGCAGGATGATGAAGGGTGTGAGGAGGCAGATCGAGGAGGGTGATGACGATGCCATCCCCCCCTTGCCATTTAGCCCCTCTGCTCACGTGCGTGTAGTGTGTGTGTGTGTGGGGGGGGGGGGGGGAGGGATCGAGAGAGAGAGAGAGAGATGGAGAGGCATCAAACACTGCCCTGACCAGTTCCCCCACGCGTCTTGTGCATGCGGAGTACGAGTGAGCGGGAGAGAGAGAGAGAGGAGGGAGAGAGAGAGAGAGAGAGAGAGACATATATATATATATAGAAAAGCGAGAGAGATATATGTATATATAGAAAAGCGAGGGAGAGAGAGGAGAGAAAGAGAGAGAGAGAGAGAACAAACAAAACCGAGGGAAAGAGAGAGAGAGAGAGAGAGCAATCGCTACCCCCCCCCACGTGGCGGAGAGATAGAAGTGGCCAGGTCGGAGCATGTAACATATATACATTATGCAAAACAGACAACTGAGATATATCAACCGAATTACACCATGAGCGATAGAAAGGCGAGAGATCGATAAGAGAGGGATGGGCAAAATAGTGTGTGAGACAGAGAGAGAGAGACGTCTGGTTGCTATCGGCATTAGTCTCGCTACTATCGTCGTCGTTGTCGCTACCATCATCCGCCGTATCATCGGTATCGCCATCCTGAGCATGATTGTCCTCATTATCTTCAGCATCGCCAGCACAATGCGGTATAACCTCACCACCTCGCAAAGGCAAGCGCCAGAGCGTCGAGAAGAACCGCTGGCCCAGCGAGGGCCCGCAGAGGTCAAAGACTTGCCCCTTCCGCAAAAGAGGTCAACGAGGTCGACAGTCGACGACGACGACGACGACGACGACGACGACGGCGACGACGGCGACGACGTCGACGACAACGACGACAACGACGACAACGACGACGACGACTTCGACGACGACGACGACGCCGACGACGACGACGACGCCGACGGCGGCGACGACGTCAACGACGACGACGACGACGACGACGACTTCGATGACGACTTCGATGACGACGACGACGACGACGACGACGACGACGACGTCGACGGACGTCGACGTCGACGACGACGACGACGACGACGACGACGACGACGACGACTAGACTTCGACGAACGACGACGACGACGACTTCGACGACGATGACGACGACGACGACGACTTCGACGACGACGACGACGACGACTTCGACGACGACTTCGACGACGACGACGACGACGACGACGGCGACGACGACGACGACGACGTCGACGACGGCGACGGCGACGACGACGACGACGACGACGCGGGGGCGCTCCCGAGGAGCCGGCGCCGCGCGGCGGCGCGCCCGCGCGCGCGGGCGGCCCCGCCGGCGCTTTTCCCCGGCGCCTGCGGCCCGGGGACGCCGCGGCCCGGGCGTGGATGGAGCCGCCGCCGCCCGTCGCCGCCTCTGCCGCCGTCGACCCGGACCCCCTCGCGCAGTGATATCAAACCACGGCGGCGGGGGGCGTTGCGCTCCTTTCGGCCTCGGGGGGGCCCTCGCCGGGCCCCAGGGGGAGGAGGAGGAGGAGGAGGAGGAGGAGAGGAGGAGGAGGGGGAGGAGGAGGAGAGGAGGAGGAGGAGGAGGAGGAGGAGGAGGAGGAGGAGGAGGAGGAGGAGGAGAGGTCGACGTCATGAAAACGTCCTGGCGTCGGGGGAGGCTGGGCCTGTCGCCGCCGACGCCGCCGTCCCGAGGTCCGCCGCTCCGGCCAAAAACGGGAGGGGAGGCGGCGGGCTGTCCTGAGGGCCATGTGGCGGTCTCTCCCGCGGGGCCCTCGCGGGGCCTCTCGCGAGGGCGTCGGGCCGGGCGAAAGGGGGGGATTGGGAAAGTCACCACCCACCAAACCACCCCAACCCAACCCGAAGGCCTAAATTTACCCTCGATTTCCAGTGGGGGGGGGGTCGGGAAACATCGAAAAAACACATGTGGACCCCTTACCCCCCCAACCCGAAATTCGGGTCTTCGGGTTGGGTTGGGGTGGTCTGGTAGGTAGTCAGAAAGGGGGGGTTGCGAAATTTGCTGCATGCAGCTGGTTTCGGCCTCACCGAGGGGGCCATTCCTCGATGCATGGCCGCCCCCGGCGCCGGGAGGCGCCGGGAAAATCAGCCACGTGAGCTGATTCTCAAACCCCCCCTTTGCTATCCCCCCCTTTCGCCCGACCCGAGAGGGCGTCGGGAGACGACGCGGGACAAAGAACCGGCCGCTCTGGGAAGTGGCCCCGACCTCCGGGGCCCGCCTCGTCGAAAGCAGTTGGAGCGGCGTGGTTGTCTCGGGTCGCCCGCGTGCCCCGCTATACAGAGGTCTCCGTGGAGCCTGGGCAGAGGTCTCCGGAGGCCCCCAACGGGCCATCCAGTCAAAAACCCTAATATAAGGACGCGCGACTTTGCTCAGGGTACCCTTTGCGTCCCTGCTCTTCCTTGCTCTTGCGCCCTTGAGGTTTTCGTCGTCCGCCGCCCCAGCAATCCCAACTTCGGCTTCCAAGGGTCCTGCGTCCTTACCGCGCGTCCTCATTAGGGTTTTTGGCCGTAAGGCGCCCCAAGGGAAAGACTCCCCGCCGGCGCGCCGCCAGGGGGAGGGCAGGCGGGCCTGCCTTCCGCTTCGGGCCATCGCAGGCAGGAGGCTCAGGGAGGGACTCACCGACCCGCAGTCGCCCACTCATCGCCAGCGGGGGGGGGGCAACAGCCCACCCCTCTCGGGGACGTGAGGACTTGCTCTCGGGGGCCTATCGCCGATTCCAGCTCGCTGCTCCCCCCCTGGACGCTCCCTCTCGAGCGGGGGGGGCAAAGACCGACGGCAGTTCCTGCCCATTTGGGGCTTTCGACAGGGCTCGCTGTCGGTGTCGCCGCGGGCGTCGGCGACTTGAGACCAGAAGTCGCCTGCCCAACAGCGGCCGCTGTCGGTTTGGGATAACACTTGCAGTCGGGTATCGTGCCCATTGTGTCCGTACCCACTTCGGGCGTGTGAGCCCTCGTCGCCAGTCTTCGCCGCCGTCGTTGACTCCGCCGCCGCCGTCGTCTCCGCCGCCGTCGTCGTCTGGCGCCCGCCGTTTGGGGTGGCTGCGGCGACGGGGGCGGCAGCGGCGGCGAGGATCGAGGCTCTCGTTTTCATTGGCGTCTTGGCCGTTGGAGGCTTCCCGAGGCCTTCAGTTCAGAGGCCTTTGGGCGTTGGTGGGCTTCTGGAGACCAAAGCGGGGGCCTCCGGACGACGGCGGCGGCGACAACGACGTTGAGGAGAGAAAGAGTAGTAGGAGAGCCAGCAGGATGAGGAAGAGTTTGAGGAACAACGATTGCACAGGCACATTATTTGGCATTGCTTGGCTTTACTTGGTGTAGCTTGTCGTTGGTTGCATTGCTTGAGGTTGCTTGCTGTTGCTTACCCTTGCTTGGCGTTGCGTGGAGTTGCTTGGTGTTGCTTCGCGTTGCTAGGCGTTGCTAGGCGGCTCTTGGCGTCGCTTGACATTGTTTGGCGTTGCTTTGCATTGCTTGGCGTTGCTTGACAGCTCTTGGCGTCACGTGGCATTGCTTGGCACTGCTTGGCACTGCTTGGGAGCAAGATCAAGCAACCCTGGGAATGTAGTAAGGAAGCGGAGCCAAGCAACCCGGGGAACGCCACTGTAAGGAAACCAGACGAAGCAAATTTCGAAAGTGCAGGAAGGAGACGAAAGCAAGCAAACCCCGGAGACGCCACTGCAAGGACAAAGAGCAGAGCAGCCCCAGGGAAGGGCACCGGAGGGAGAGCAAGACCTGGCAACCCCGAGGAGCGCTTCTGTGAGGAAGCGAGGCCAAGCAACCCCAGGGAACGCCAGCCGGCCAGGCCTGGCACCCGCACCAACAAGAAGCCCTGGGCAAAGCCTGATTGGGGAATCGGGGGGGACATCGAGAGGGAGGAGGAGGAGGAGGAGGAGGAGGAGGACCAGAGTAAAGCCAGTATGCACCATCGATGTTGCAATACATATATATATATATATATATATATATATACGTATACAGTATTCATCGGTTCCACGCCCCCGTCCATACGTCCCTGTGGAAGAGGAGGACCAGAGTAAACCCAGGATGCACCAATGTTGCTACAGTAGATACATCGGTTCCAAGCCCCCCTCACAAGTCTCAACAGGCTGCTCCCTTCACTACAAGCAGCGTCCCTTGAAAGATGAGCACTTGATGGGGCGTGCCATGTTGATGAGAGGCCCGTTTTGGAATGGAATTGGCCTGTTTCCTTCTAGCGAGTAGTGAGGTGCGCGATCGGGTATGATCATAAAGTGGGGTCTCCAGCGACATCTTCGTTTTGGAGAAGGGCTCTCCTCAAGTCCGTAGAATTGTTGCACAAGCTTATGTGCATGGTAATTTGAGTCGAGAGAGTCTCAAGCGACAGCCCCAGTTCGAAAAGGGTATCCAGTCATCCGTGCAGCCGCTACATCTGGTCAAGCTTCTGTCAGGAGGAGAAAAAACACACAGACACAATTAATCGTCGACTACCCCGAAAATATAGGAAAATATGCGCAGTGGGGGGGGAAGACAGAAACCCAGAAAACATTGGAAAGTATGGGTGATCCTTTTATTTGTGTGTATTTATTTGTGTGTTTGTGGGCCCCTTCATTCTGGCTGCAACATTTTGAGAGCAGCTCGAATCGATGGCTCCGTTCCGAAAGGGCCCGCCCTCCGTCCCTGTAGCTGCTGCGAGCGTTTGAGACGGAAGGGCGCGGCGTCAAGGCGACAGCTCTATTCCGAAAACGCACCGCCCTCTACCCCTGTGGTTGTTGCAATTGTGTGTCTATGAGCGTGCCAGTCCATGGCGCACCTTGTCCTGTGCAAGATCCTCGGCGCCGCCTGTTTTCTGAGGCCTCCGGCCGCCTGAGGCCCCGCCCGCCCGCGCCCTGTCTTCCCAATTAGGGCTGCCAGCGTCCCGTTTAGCTCTTGACCGGAAGGGGCCCGCTCCCGACCCGCAGACCAAAAAGGTCTATGAGCGTGTGCGGCGCCATGGAAAGAGTTCATTTTGAAGTTGATCTGCGCTCCGTTGTTGCAGCTGTCGCAGATCTCTGAAGACGAATGTGCGCGGCGCATCATGAATGGCCTTGTGTTGAACCGGTGCCGCTCCATCCCTGAATATGCTGCAGAGTTTTAACGCGGCTGTGCGCAGCGCTCTGGCGAGAGCCCTCTTTGAAAAGGCACTGCCATCCATCCGTGCCAAGCGTCAAGACCACAAGTGGTGAGGAAGTCTCACGCGGAATCCCCATGCACGCCCTACCGACGAGTCTCGTGGTGCGACAGGGAGAAGCTATATACAATGACATGGAGGAGGCTGCTCCCTTCAGAAACGGATCAGCCCCGTGCCCTTTGAGAGACACGGGGAATTTCTTGGAAGCGGCGGCCCTCCCCCTCGTGACATCCGCAGATGCCTTTTAGTGCTTTGCTTTTTCCATCCGCGGTCCCAGAGGTCTCGACCGCTTCCCTGGGGGAGGGTTTTCTCGCCACAGATCGATGTTTGCCTGCCCCCGAGCTCGAACACGGCCCCCGAGGGCCGAACTCACGGAAAACGCGCCGGTTGGAGAGCGCATCCCGTCGGGGACCGGGGCCCTCTCCCCGCCCCGGTCGGCGCAGCACCAGAGGAGGGCATGCGGACCTTCCTCTTCGACATCGACGGCGCTGGGAGGGCACCAGCCATCTGCACCCCGCGCCGGTGCTGGCCAGGCCGCTCCAGGGCCCAGGAGGAGCCTGGCCAGGTCGGTGCAGGCGTGTGTCGGCGCCCTCCGAGGCGTCATCCACAACGGCGGCACGGAGATCCCTGGCGCCGCCCGGGCGCTCGCGGCGCTGCGGGGCTCCGGTCGGCAGGTGCTCTTCCTCACGAACAACGCCACCAAGACGCCCGAGGACGTCGTGGCACTCTTCGCCTCGTTCGGCGCCGAGGCTCAGGGGAGGATCGAGCTTCGGGGCTTCGAGCTTCGGGTTTTGTTGTTGTTGTTGTTGCTGTTGTTGTTGTTGTTGTTGTTGTTGTTGTTGTTGTTGTTGTTGTTGTTGTTGTTGTTGTTGTTGTTGTTGTTGTTGTTGTTGTTGTTGTTGTTGTTGTTGTTGTTGTTGTTGTTGTTGTGTTGTTGTTGTTGTTGTTGTTGTTGTTGTTGTTGTTGTTGTTGTTGTTGTTGTTGTTGTTGTTGTTGTTGTTGTTGTTGTTGTTGTTGTTGTTGTTGTTGTTGTTGTTGTTGTTGTTGTTGTTGTTGTTGTTTTTTGACTTCTGGCTGCGCCTCGTCGAGAGCGGTCTGGGCTTGCCCGACTCGTCCCGAGCAGCCGCCAGAGACACCCGAGCGAGGGCCCGAAAACGAACTACCTTTGAGCGGACCGCGAGGGCGGGGGCGCGAGGAACAGATACACCTTAGGCGATGCTTAAGAAAACTTAAGTTTTCGGCCAGAGTCTCGAGTATTCTTAATTTTTCAATGTAAATCCCAAGATTTGATAGAAATGTTGGGTTTTATTCCATTTCTGAGACTATGAATTTCTTAACCCAGGATTTCTTAAGCATTTCGCAGGGCGTACCGAGACCGCTGCTCAGCCCAGGGAGGCCTCGTCGCCACGCCCGGGTCCTCGTGGGACTTCTGCCTGGTCGGAGCGCGCCCCGGGAGAGAGGTCCGCTCGGAGAGAGCAGCTGCATGGGGCACCGTGCGGGGAGCAGCTGCCTCGGCGCCGTGCTGCTCCCCTCGAGGCGACGCCGGACGAGGTCATGACCTCGGCGGTCGCCGCGGCGGACTACCTGCGCGCGGCCGGGCAGGAGGGGAGGCTCGTGGGCAAGCAGGTGTACGTGGTCGGCATGCGCGCCCTGCAGAACATCGTCGCCTCCGTCGGCCGCGATTGCACCCGCAGTCGTCCACGCGCTCGTTTTTGTTTGCCCTTGGCCCGTCGGTTGGCCCCCCGTCGCTCTGGGGCCCTGGCGGACTCTGACCCTCAGGGACGCACCACCGATTCCATTGTGGCGCACAAGCAGAGCTAATGTCGAAAATTACGGTGCGGTGTGTTGGTGGGGGTCTTGTACTTCCAAGGCTAGAGAATAACGCCGCAAACGGCAAGAGCCAGTCGCCACATTTTGCTCGCTCCTAGTCAGGGTACAAACTTTCTGCTCTCCCTCCTGATCCTCCTGTTCTTCACCCTCCCCAATTCGTCGTTCTAGGTCTCCCGCTGGGGCGCGAAGGTAACCGCGCTTCGAGCTTTGCGATCTGAGCTGGAGGGGCGACAATCTCCAGAGAACGGCGCATTCATACTACAGCCATGCCACTAATGCCACTGTGTTGCAAACCTGCAAGAGCTAAAAGCTTTGCGGTCAACTGGCGTGCCGCCATTATTTTTTCGCACAGGCGAGTTTCGACTGGCACTGGCCGAGCGGACGCCGCAAACGCGGCCGACAGAGGAGGTATACGAGATGTCCCGCAAAGCAGCGGAAAGCCAGGAGGCCTTGCACAGACTCTGGCGACAGGAGGCCGCCGCGTGACAAGGCGTCGCAACGCAATTTACACCCTGTTTTTGAAGCCTCCGTGTTTGGTCCCTGTCCTCGTGCCCCGTTCCCCTCGTCTCAGGTCCCGCCGAGACCTCATGTGGAGTCGTTCATGTTTTTTTGCTCCCAGGATCCGTTGGGGCTCCTGAAGAGCTGCCGCTCCTCTCGGTTCCCTCCTCCTCCTCCTCTCCCTCCTCCGGCGCCACGCTTGGCACGCTCGTGGTTTCGCCCACATCATCTCCGCTCCACCACAGGGCCAACGCGCCCCCGACGTGCACGGCCTCCGTCTCAGCTGGCCGTCCCGAGGTCTCGTGCGTGGCCCTCGGCGCTTTCTCTCCGCAGAGTCCGCAAAGCCGGGCCCCGGCGTGCCGACCCCCCCTGCGCGCGCGCGGCAGGGGGTCGGCCGGAACGATGTTTTTGGCGAGTTCGTGGGCCGTTGTCGTTTCGATGTCGTTTTGCAGCAAAGACGGGTTGGAGACAAAACGAGGGGAAAACGACAACGCAACGGAAGCGAGAAACAGTGTTTGGCGAGTTCGTGGGCCGTTGTCGTTTCGATGTCGTTTTGCAGCGAAGACAGGTTGGAGACAAAACGAGGGAAGACGACAACGCAACGGAAGCGAGAAGCAGTGTTTGGGTCGATCCCTGGCGCGCAGGGACAGCGCAGCGCTCGAGCGGGTCGTCGCCAGGAAGCTTGCCCAGCCTCCTCGGCCTCGTAGCGTTCGGGGTCGCAGTCCTGGCTGCAGGGCCACGCAGGACTCTCAGGTCGACCGCGCCTCGCGGTCGGCGCCGAAGGGCTGCCCGAGGGCGCAGGAGCGCGAAGAGTAGCGCGCATCGCGCTGAAGGCGGCGCGAAACGCGCAGATTTGGCCGGGTGGAGTACAATACAATCGAGACGGTGAGATAAGGGCCGCTTTGGGTTCAGGAGGGGCTCGCTGTTCCCCAAGTCATCCACTGGTCGGTCATCTAGCCCTCCCCGTGCACCTGCAAAAGGGGCCTCGTTCCTTATGCAGCGTTCCTTCTGATTGCACCTCGACGGTACAGTAGAAGCGTCAAGTGAGGAAGCGCCAGCAGGAGCCCCGCGGAAGTCCCGTGACCCCGAAAGCCACAGGAACCGGCGGAGGCGTTGGGACACTCTCTGGGACTTCCAGAGCTCGGCGAAGAATGTGCCCCAGTGTTTTGTTTCACAACCAGTGTTCTGATAGCCAGACCGAGGTATGAGAACGAGGTCGGTTCGGGGAGGGTGCCCTGAGGTTCTTCGTGCTCGTTGGATGTTCTTGTGCACCCTGGGGGGGTACCCTGGGATGTTCTGTGTGGTCTGGCTGGCGGCGGAGGGCCTCATCTTCATGAAGCGTGGTATCATGTTCTGGGTCCGGCCGTATCGCATGCGCCTGCTGCAGGGCCACGGTCCCCCGCAGGCGACGAGCTGGGCACCTTCTCCACCTTCGGCGGCGAGGACGATGCGCCGAAGGGCAGGGCAGACGTGGTCCAGGAGTTCAACCCGTCGCTGAGTCCTCCTCCGGAGGACGTGCCCCCTCCCGTCTCCTCCTTCCCTCCTCCTCCCGCCTGCGCTGTGAGTGTGGTGCCACCTGCTGTCTGTGAGCATCCAGCCGATTTTGCCGTGCTTGAGCTTCGTCTGGCCCGAGGGATATGTCCGCTCTGGGCGCCGAGAGACACTTGAGCCACCCCACGTGTAAGAAGCGATAAAGCCCTGCCCAAGGCCGCGCTTGGGCCGAGTTCTTTTGCTTGTCACATGTGTGGACGTTTTGCTAGTCCAACGTGCTGAAGCCTGATATCCTCCCTTGCTCTCGGGCTTCGTTCCATTGAGAACATGGGCCTATCTCGTGCCGAGCACCGCTTCTTGGCGCGCTCGAGAAACTTGAGCGGTAATTTGATCTCAGGTTCTGGCACTGCCTGAAGTGGAGGAGGAGGAGGAGGAGGAGGAGGAGGAGGAGGAGGAGGAGGAGGTGGGGGAGGAGAGGGAGGGGGGGGAAGAAGGAGGTGGGGAGGAGGGGGGAGGAAGGGAAGGAGGAGGAGGAGGAGGAGGAGGAGGAGGAGGAGGAGGAGGAGGAGGAGGTCCCTGATGAGCCATTCGCCGCCGCCTTCTGCTGCTCCTTCCGCCCTCAGGGCAGGGGTGGTAGGCCGGGGCGTGGCAACCGTGCGCGCCCCAGGAGGAGTTGGGTCCGTTCAAGACCGCCCTTGTCGGCCACGCGCAGAAGGGGGGTGGGGGGAGGGGGGGAGGCTTCCTGGAAGCACCCCTGATTCTTAGAAGGCGCGGGCCCTGCCTGTAGATGTGAGGCCCGCGCCTTCTGAGAAGCGGCCTCCTTCCAAGAAGCCTTTCCCCCTCCCCCTACCGCCTCGTGCGCGCCGCCAAAGACCACCCTGTGAGGGAGGGGGGGTTCTGCAGCCTTGGAGAGTCATGTCCATTCCCCGCCAGGGTTTGGCACTCCCTGAGATCCTGGCGGCTCCATTTTTTCGAGCCGAGCGTTTTCGCTCGCTGTCGGGCCCCGGGACCCTCACAGATCGATCCTGCTCGGAAAATGATGCAGAAATATGGGGTCCGGGGCTCTGGGCGTGATTTTGCGCGATGCTTTTTTTTGTCGCAACGTCGGGTCCCAGGTCTTGGACCCCCTCGATCCACCGAGAGTGGGCTGGGGAGGTTCATGGTTGCGTGCCACCTGGCCAGCGGGCTTCTACGGGGATTTTGTACCACATGTGTACCGTGTGCCCTGGACTGCGGCTGAGTGGAGTTCCAGGGTCCCCGCCTTGATGACAAGTGGTTGGGGCGGCGCCTTCGCGCCGTTATCTGAGGGCGTGAGTTCACGGGCAGGGCTCGGTGGTGAGGTTTGCTCGCCGCGCTGCTTGTTCGAGGGCTAGAGGGCGAAGGGTTTCACAGGGCTGGCATCTTGTCCCCTGCCTGCCGCTGCCTCTGCTTCCCCTTCCTCTTTGCCGCAGGCCCGCGCTCCACGCCCAGGGAGATTGCCGGCACCCTGCGTGAGCTGCTGGCTCTAAGACCGTATTGACCGCGGGTGTTCGACTTGTTGTCAAGGTTTTCAGGCTAGCAAGATCCCGTTCTCATTCTTGATCCCTCGTTGTGTTCATTATCGTTCATCGGAGGATGGGGGGTAGGATCGCAGTTGAACGGAGAGTTCCCAACCATGAAATCGGTTTCGGTTTCGGGCTCGTGTCGTGCGTGCGGGCGAGATGAAGCTGCGCGGGCGCACGCGAGGAGTGACCCCGCCGTGGCTAGGGCGATTCGGATGTAGTGGACCGCCCCCCCGACCCCGGTGGGCGCGCGGTGGCCCGGGGTGTCCCGCCGTGGTTTCCTGTGGTGCCCCGGTGGTGTCATGTTGTTGTCCTGTCGGTGTTCCGTCGGCAGTGGGCAGGCGGTGGCCGGGGGTGTCCAGCCTTGGTATCGATAGTGAAGTCGATAGTGAGATCGAGAATGAGATCGCTAGAATGGGATGGACAGTGAGACCAAAAGTGAGATCGACAGTGAGGTTGATTGTGACATTGGTTGTGAGATCGAAAGTGAGGGCGATAGTGAGATCGATCGAGGAGTCGATAGTGAGATCGAAAGCGAGATCGGTAGCGAGAAATATCGAGACGTACAGCGCAGCGCAACATCGTCACCACGCGTCGTCGCTCACTCGAGGGCGCGTCACCATCATCGTCACCATCACGCCCATCGCATTTGCCAGCATTGGTTGCTTCCACCCGTCCCCCAACCTCCTTTAGCACCCGCAGGGTGGTAGTATTGGTAATATCTCTCTTCCCCTCCTCCTCCTCCTCCTCCTCCTCCTCCTCCTCCTCCTCATCTTTGTTGCTCGCTCCTCCAGTGCTTCCTTCCTCCCTCCTGTTCCGTCCTCCTTCCAATTTGCCCTTCCTCCTGCTCCTCCACCTGCTCCTCCCTCCTCCTCCCCATGCTCCTGCTCCTCCCTGAGGACGTGGGCGCTGTCGTGGCCGTGGCGGGGAAAGCCGGGGAGATCCTTGTTGCCCCCATTACCCCCCGCTTTCGATCTTCGAGGCCCAGGAGCTCTTGGCAGAGCACTGCCGCGAGCACTGAGAGGCTCCCCCCCGCGGGTGCAGCCTTGGCGCCCCCTGGGAAGGTGGCATCTCTGTCAGGACTCGGGGCTTCCACAGCGGACCGATGCACTTGGCATCGCTTGGATGTGTGTATTTTTCCGTCGGCGAGGACCATCGAGGAGCATCCTTGATCATTTGGCGAAACAGCCACGCACGAAACCGAAAACAACACACAGGGAATGGACGTCCGGGCGATGGCCAGGGCACGATCTGCCGTGGAACGTCCTCGGGCCCCGAGGACCGATCGGGGCGTCCCCGGCAGAGTGCGCCCCGATCCCCGTCCCCCATCCGAGAGGTCGGCGCCGACTACAACTTCAACTACTACAAGCTGGCGCGGGCGGCGAACTACCTGAGGAGCAACCCGCAGTGCCTGTACGTGGCGACGAACCCCGACCCCAGATCGGGGGCTGCTACGAGAGGTGCCCCCCCCCAGCCCGAGGCGCCCCCCCAGCTCTTCGCTCCCTCTTGGCGCCCCTGGGGGGCCCTCTTGGCCTCGTGGGGGGTCCTCTGCAGGCAAGGGGGGGCCTCCTTGCAAATCCTGGGGAACATCTCGGGTTAAGTCGGGCGTGTCCCTCTACAGGAGGAATATTTTAAAAGTAGTCAAAACATTGTACGGGGGCGCTTGTTCGATTCTTTCTGACCATTTTGGGGTATGGTTTGACTACTGTGATGTTTCGTCCAAAATCCCTCCGTAGGAGGACATGCCCGGCCTACATCTTGGGCCAGGGGCACCTCCGGCAAGCCCCCGACCAGAGCGCTCCTGTGCCCCGGGGTGCTCGTGCCCGCCGCCGGGTCCATGGTGGCCGCCATCTCCGCCGCGTCGGGCCGCGAGCCCGACATCGTCTGCGGCAAGCCGAGCGCCTCGCTGGCCAGGCACATTCGCTGGCGCTGCCGCGCGGGGTGCCCGCCAGCGCGCACGGCGGGGAGGAGGCCGGGAGGGGGGGGCGGGGGGCGCGGGGAGGCGAGGGCCGACGGAGGCCAAGATGGGCCCCAAAGCCTACGAAAGGTCCATGATGTGCGCTCTCTCGCCGAGGCCGTCTCGGACACTCTATAACGCGCCGCCGGGCGTCCCGATCGTGTCCAGGGGAGGGGGTAGTGGGAGGGGGCAAGCTTCCCACCCGTCCGCAAGCCGTCTAGCTCATTCCCACCCGCCCTCCCAACACATAAGGTAACGCCCGAGCCTCAGCATGTTCAGCGGTCGTCTTTGGATGGACAGCTACTGGGAACCAAAGTCGAGCCCATGTGCGCGACGCTAGGGCAAAGTGCGCCCCGCGCGCCAGGCACCCCTGGGGCCCGAGCGTGCCAGGCACGCCTGGTGCGCCAGATGCGCCACGTGCCTCCGTGTGCGCCATGTGTGCCGCATACTCCAGCCGCGCCAGGTGCGCCACGTTCAGGGCACGTGCAGAGTGTGCCAGATGCGCCTGCGCACGTGACAGCACACATCGGGAAACATGTCGGCCCCCACCATCACTGTCGAAAGCCACTGTCCATCATCGTGTCTGGAGGGCCTGCGCACAGCAGGCCAGCCGTCCCTGCCAAAAACCACTTGACAGTGATCGCGGGGTGACCGCACACGATCCAGATTTAGCCACGAGGTACATGTTGTATTCTTTCTTGTCAGGGATGCTAGCCCTGCGCGCACTAGGCAGTATGCTGACACCCCCGCCGCCCCTGTCAACAACCAATACAAAGTGCTCGCGGGCCTCACGAACATGACTGCAGACTTTACCCCTAAGTGTACTTTGCATTGTTTTTGACACGGATGCTGGGGGAAGGGGGGGCGCATCGGATTGGTTGTGCATGCTCCAGATTTGGAGGCAGAGTGTGTGTTCGTACTGCGTTTGGTATGATGGCTGGTGGAGGTGATCATAGAGGTCCTAATTACTTGTTCCTGGTTGGCTGTCTGTCGCCTGGGGGAGGGGGGGTATATGAATAGGGAACAGTGATCAAGACACCCTCCCCGCCCGCAAGCCGTATCGCTCACTCCCACCCGCCCTCCCAACACAGAACTAGCACCCGAGCCGCAGCGTGTTCAGTGGTAGTCTTTGGATGGGCAGTTGCTGGGAACCCAAACTGACCCCATGTGCGCAACGCGGGGGCGACGTGCGCCATGCGTGCCAGGCGCGCCACGCGCGCCAGGTGCGCCAGGCACCGCTGTGGCCCAAGCGTACTGGGACGCCTGGTGCGCCAGATGCGCCACGTGATCCACATGCGCCATGTGTGCCGAATACTCCAGCCGCGCCAGGTGCGCCACGTTCGGGGCACGTGCAGAGTTTTTCAGATGCGCCTGCACACGTGACAGCACACATCGGGAAACATATCGGCCCCCACCACCATTGTCGGAAACCATTGCGCAACCGCGACGGAGTGGCCATCATAGCGCTTGGTTGGCCTGCACATGGCATGCACTATGCCAGCACCCCCGCCGCCCCAGCCACAAACCAGTGCATAGTGATCGTGGGGTGCCCGCGCATGATCCAGATGTTGCCTTGAAGTGTATTGTTGCATTGGTTTCGACTGGAGTGGTGGCCCTGCGCGCATCAGACAATCTGCATGCACCCCCGCCGTCCCTGTCAATCAACAACGCAAAGTGCTCGCGCTCCCCCCGATCATGGCCAAAGATTCTGCCCAGAACTGGACTTCACCGTGCTCTTGACAGGGATGGTGGGGGGGTCTCATTGGTCCTGGTTGGCTGACGGTCGCCTGGGGGAGGAGGTATATATTAATAGGGAAGTGGTACCCCCCCGAAGGGGACAATGGGGAGATGGACGAGGAAACGACCAGGTGCCGAGGGAGATAATCGACCGAGGAACGCCCCGCCGCATTCGAAGGCTGCTCCGCGCGGGCTCCTTGGACCTGCGTCGGGCCCCCCCTTGGCGGCACCTCCAGCGCCGCCCCAAGAAATGTTGGATGCTTCGCGTAACCCCACGAGCTGGCCGCCTGATCCGCGGCCCCCGCGCGCGCTCGGCAATTTAGTCGCGGCCGTAGCCCGCCCGCGACCTCCCGCCGCTGGCGCTTACGCCTGCGGCTGTAAAAAAACCCACGAGCCCATGCAGAGACGTTGCCCAGGCGAGTTGCCCTAGTCAGTGATGTGGGGCAGCATGCAGTGGATGAAGGGCTTGGCTTCTCGGTCCTCTTTGGGCGTCTTGGGGGCCTCTCGCCGCGCATTGGGTGCCTCCGGGGAGCCTCTTGGGGCCTCTTGGGGGTCCCTTGGGAGCCTTTTGGGGACCTCGTGGGGGCATCTCTGGGCATCATAGAGGCCTCTTGGGGCACTCTAAGGGCACGCTTGGAAGCCCTGGAAGTCATCATGGGGCCATCTTCGAGGAGATCGACCAAATAAGGGGGGGGGCTCAATGAGGGTCCCCTCCCAAGAGGCCCAAACGGGCCCCAAACGCGCGTAAAATCAATGATGTGTGCCTTCTCGCCGAGGCCGTCTTGCACGCTCTAACGCGCCGCGGGGCGCCCCGTCCAGGTCCAGGGGGGGGGGTCAAGACACCCTCCCCGCCCGCAAGCTGTCTCGCTCACTCCCGCCCGCCCTCCCAACACAGAAGTAGCACCCTGGCCTCAGCACGTTCCGCGGTCGTCTATGGATGGACAGCTACTGGGAACCAAAATCGAGCCCATGTGCGCGACGGTGGGGCGAGGTGCGCCGCGCGTGCCAGGCGCTCCATGTGCGCCAGGCACCCCTGGGGCCTGAGCGTGCCAGGCAGCACGCCTTGCGTTCCAGATGCGCCACGTGCTCCGTGTGCGCCATGTGTGCCGCATGCTCCAGCCGCGCCAGGTGCGTCACGTCCGGGGCACGCGCAGAGTGTGCCAGATGCGCCCGCGCACGTGACAGTACACATCGGGAAACATGTCGGCCCCCACCATCATTGTCGAAAGCTATAGCATAATCGCGGCGGGGAGGCCATCATGGTTTCTGGTGGGCCTGCACACAGTAGACAATATGCCAGCGCCCCCGAGGTCCGTGTCAAACACTATTGGACAGTGATCGCGGGGTGGCCGCGCACGCTCCAGATTTATCCGCGAAGTGCGTGTCGTATTGTTTTTGTGATAGGGATGGTGGCCTTTCACAAAGCAGGCAATATGCTGGCACCCACGCCGTCCTTGTCAAAAAACAATTATACAGAGCGCTCGCGGGGCCCCACGAGCATGACCCAAGATTATGCCCCAGAGTGTAATTCGTATTTTTGCTGACGGCGGGTGTCGCCCTGGTGCTGGCTGGCTGCAGCTCGCCTGGGGGAGGGGGTGCTTCTTGATAGGGAGCAGGGACAAAGCCTTCCCCGACATGGAAGGAGGGGGTTGGAAGAGGAAACAACCAAGGGCCGAAGGAGGGAAACGGCCGCGGACTGCCCCGCCGCATTCGAAGGAGACCCAAGCCGCATACGCAAAAGCTGTCGGAGCTGCTCCGCGCGGACTTCTTGGACCTTGCATCTGCGTTGTGCCCCCCCCTTGGCGGCAGCTCCAGCGCCGACCCAAGAGATTCGAAATGTTTCGCGTAACCTCACGAGCCCATCCAGAAACGAACCCCAGGCGAGTTGCCCTGGTCAGTGACGTGGGGCAGCATGCAGTGGAAAAGCTGAGGACTTGGCTTCTTGGTCATCCTTGGGCGTCTTGGGGGCCTCTCGGCATTGGGTGCCTCTGGGGAGCCTCTTGGGGCCTCTTGGGGGTCCCTTGGGAGCCTTTTGGGGACCTCGTGGGGGCATCTTTGGGCATCCTGGACCCTTGAGCGTCATCCTGGGGCCATCTTGGAGGAGATCGATCAAAGAAGGGGAGGCTCAATGAGGGCCCCCTCCCAAGAGGCACCGATGGGCCCCAAACGC